GTCCTTTGAATTACTTAATTCCAAGCAGAAGTTCGGAAGTTGACTGGAGAAGACAAATAATTTGTTCTGGCTCATCTGTTTGAGCTAGCTAGTAAATCAATGACTCACAAAATTATCTAAAGATATTAAAGGAAATAAAAGGGGATTTGATAAATTTTCTCGACCCAAAACTATAAAATGGCCGTTTAAAACTGGCCTTGAGCGGATGACCGACCCTGTATAGCTACTTCGCTCTTCACTAAGTGTATAATACAATGTTGCAAATGTATTTACCTCAAAGTTTATTAACTTGTTGTTCCTGTAGATACGACAGAAGCTGAGGCAAAATAAAGTTTATCTTTCGGGCGACTAGCCCCTCCTTTTCGTTTTGTCCCAAGCTGATCGGTGTAAATGATTAAATGCCCTACTCCAGAAAAAAGGCCCTCTAGCAGGCATCTGAAGTTGTCCTTCTTACTCTCGAGCTTGCAACACCAAACGAAGACTTGGGGGAAGGGAAAGGTTGTACAAGATAGGCCCGTTTGTGCTTGAGTGATGATGAGGGTTAGTAATTACGGTAATTCGATCTGTAGTTAGAGGCTATATTTGGAGTGTTTTTTAACTTAATAATATAGGAAAAAGAAAAAAAAGTTTTTCTTGTATACTTTCAGGCGAGTTTTAAAAATCTTATTTTTATGAGTGATTAGCATTTCTGTCAGTAATTAACAAGTCACGCGTTTAAAAATTTTGGATCTGTCTCAGCCTGATCAACTGTGCACCTACTCCTCCCCTGACCCAACATTGACCCTAATTTATTATCAGTTGACTGTTGTTGAGTTGGGGAAGGGGTAGGTGCAGAGTTTCTCAGATACTGACATTAATACAAGGTTTTTACCTTGAGTCTTTTTTCCTCTTTTACATGGTGAAGTCAGTTTTAACTTCTAAAATAGCGAAATTTCACTTTAAAGCCATTTGCAAAGTCACGTCATTAATCGATATGGACGGGGGCAATCTTTCACTCACCTGTGATGGCAAAGCTGGTTCTGAGGGTATTAGCATTAGCCTACTGGAGCTAAGCTTTCACGCTCGACCAAATCTAGATATTTTGTGTTTGGATTTTATTTTGTGGACAAATATGAAGGGAACGTGCACCTAAAAGTGTTCGTATAATGTGGTTACCTATGTCTGAGAAAGTGTTGCAAATGATTCAAAGAAGGACATTGTAATTACCGAACGCACGAATGTACCTCATCATGGCAGAGGAAATGTCTCAAGTTTTTGATACATTAAGAGGTTTGTCACTCTCACGAAAAGTATGAGCTAGTTATGTATAGCAGTTATGTATGTATAGCAGTTATGTATGTATAGCAGTTATGTATGTGGAGTAGCAAGTAGTGGTTTTCTTCTCGTTTAGCTTTTTATCATAAGTGTCCTGAAAATCCTTGGGCAATTGACTTATTTGCAAGTTCACCGTCTAAACCTTTTATAGTTCGCCTCCTGAAATATAACTTCGCCCTTACCTCTACAGGCTCAACCCAGAACATGTCAACTTATTTCTTAAGGGAAAAACGTATTCCTTCTCTCTCGAAATCATGATGAATTTTAATCCAAATGCAATGTTCTTTTTTCTGAGTCAAACGCTTGATGACGGAAACATCCTTCATCGCTGTGAACGCTCTACTTCAAATGAGTGACATCAAAACAAAAGATTAAAACATACAAAGAGACCAAATGAAACAAAAATAAACCTTTGCTGACAGTGTTGAAGAAAAAGGACTGAACTACCCAAATAACGAATTTTTTGGGATTAAAATTTTCATGAATGTTGCTTTGAATACATGTAAAAAAAGCCATCATCGAGATTCACTTTTCTAAGTGCATATGCCATGAGAAAATTTGGGCAATGAATGAATTAAACAGAGTTTGAATGTAAAATCTGAAATATTTTAACCTGCAGTGGTAAATGAAAAACTTTTAGGTCATTCCTGTCATCAGTTTAAGCACTTTTAAACTATTCACGAAACCAGGCGAATGTTCTGATCGAGTTCTGGGATTTCAACATTTTATTTAGCAATTGAAAAGGAATAAGCAAAGGATTCAGATACTTATGCGGATAAAATGCACCTAATTTACAAAATCTCTTCATATTTTATGATCAATAACCAATTAAATATGATCTTTCTAGAATTATTATTTTTCTTTACTGAATCATCTCCTTTAAGCTGGCACTAAAATTTCAGAAGCCTTCCTTAAATAAAGCTAACATCCGAAGAAAATCAGTTGCACACAGGTAATTAAAAAATTATGGGCAAACTGATCACAATTTCATAAGTTCCGAAAAAATGATAATAAAGCAAAAACAACGAAGAAATTAGCCTGCACGATTAAGATCTCAATGTACAAATCAGTGGTCTTTCTTTCCTTCCTTAAAATAGTAAATTTCACAATTTTCAACTGAACGTGACAATTCATTGATGTTTGCGAAATATCAGCATATCTTCATCGTGTTTCTTGAATGTGATCCCCTCGCCTGTAACAGAGAAGTCTTTTTTTGAATCAATCACGAAATTCCAGAAAACGTATTCCTTTTTGACAGGATGTGAGTTTCTTCGTTTCGCTGTACGTCACATGGATATTAAGCATATCAGACATCCTTCCAAAAAAAATTCAGAAGGAAAAGTCTTAAGATTTCGATTATAAACTTCTTTCACCTTCCATCTTTTCCTTCTTTTTCTTGTAAGGTTGTCCTTTCCATCTCCCTCGAAAACCCAAAAGACACATAACCCAAGGGCTGTGGGGTGTTCGTGCCCTCCCCCCCTTCCCCTTTGTAAGCTTTTTTTTATCGCATTAGGTAAAACACGGCATGGAGGTCGAAATAAAAATCTAGTGTGTACCCTATGTTTGACCTAGTGTTACCCCCCATTTGAAGTATCTTGGCTACGCCCCTGTAACTGTGGCCAAACTAAATTGTGTCCCATCCTCTCACTATTAGGGGTCCTTGTGTAAAGAGTGGTACCGAATGGAAAGCAGAAAAATAAAACAACAACAACGAAAGTGCATTTCCATTTCTTGCAACGTAACGAAGGCAACTTTAATGACAATCACAATTCATCTATACTTGGGTCGAATGGTATCGCACAGGTAAGCGTTACTTTTGCCAAAAGTAATATTATTCCCGATATTCACAATTTCAATATTAAAATGAATAATAATAACAAATGAAATATTTGAAACTAATGCCCTTTTTGAAGTTAACTCCAAGCAATCTAATATTCTTCAATTCGCTCTGACGAGGGGTAAACGCTCAAAACGTCAGTTTTATGAACTTTTACGGTGGCCAATTTACATCATCAACTCAGCTGATGAAACCAAATTATCTTTTATCACATAAACTTCCGGCCCTGAGAAAAGCCATAACAGCACACGTGAAAAAATATCGTATTTTTGCACGTGTGTTGATATACCCAATCAGCTGCTGACACGTCACTCGCATTTGGTGCCACTCGGTCAGGTTGATGAATGAACCGAAAAGCCTTTACGATTCTCAATACAAGTTGTTTGTCGGAGCTTCCTCGAATTATGGCGGCTAAAACACTAAAAAATCTGTATTGCTAACAGGCAGTGAGGTTCAAACTTTCCTAGAGGAGGAAGAAAACCAATATACTAAAAGAAAAATCGCAAGTTACGTATTCAGTGGCTTTGGTGTTAGCATTTCTCTTGTGTTCAACTCGACATCTCACTAGTCCGCTGCGCTCACTCATGAGCTGTGCGCATTCACAAATTACGGAATACCCAAGGGATTGCCTGCTGGCGCTGACCAAACTTTCCCTACATAACTTTTAGCATCATCTCAGCCATGGAGCGCTTCCTAGGTTTCTTATCAGTCTTGGGAAAGGGTCATGATCGATACCTTCACGAGCTTTGTAGTCCCGTTTGAACAAAAGTTGTGACGTGAGAGTGAAAGAAAGAAAGAGCCAGACGAGATGCAGCCTTTTTTTTAAATGTCTAATCTTTTTTCCACAGTCTGGCTTTTTGGGCTCTAAATTTGTTTCGAGAGCAATTTTTAGTGTTTTGTCTCACTGGATTACATAGTATCCTCTGAAACAAAATGTATATTCAATTTAGTATTCATATTTACAAATAGTCATACCTTAAAATAACGAAGACAGCGATAAAAATGGAAATATATACGATTCATGCTGATATATATAACTCCATATTTTACAGTGAAGTGTATTGTTATTTTAAGAAAGTAGTGCCTAAACTGTATTCGAGGGGCAGCATTTTTTGAAAAGTGGGTTACACCTCGTCAATCAGCGAGTAATCACCAAACTGTCATGTCGACCTCTACGCCATGTTTTACTTGGTGTGACAAAAAAAACTTACAAAAAGGGGGTCATGGGCACCCTTGGACCCCCACCTCTAGCTACGCCCTTGACGGGATTAGGTGAAAACACTCCGTCTTTGTCCTAAGCATATCTGTGCTATGTAGGGCTGAGCTCAAAACTATAATTAATGCAACTCATTAAAAAAAAAACACCTCCTTTTTTTATCGTAGTCTACTTATGATTATTTTTAACGTGTTTAATACCATACAATTTACGAGAACTTGAAACCCAACTTTGTTTGCTTAGAAGCGCGCAGATGCACACTCTTCATATATTCAGCGATACAACATATTTAAACACACACGAGAAATATCATTAAATATTGCTTGCATAACATGTGATTGATAATAGGAAATATATAAAAGGGAATTTAATCCTTAAAGTTAGAAATGAGACAGTCTATAATGTGATAAACTACAGGTACCGCTGTTTAAAGCAACGGAATAGCTGCCAGTAAATACTACTTTGATAAACATTTAATTTGACAGACAGTAAGTACATATAAATGGTATTTCGATTCTTATAGTTTCACATGAAATAACATTGAATGTGGCAACTATGTGCACCGCTGTTTTAGGCACCGAAATATTGCTTTTATAAAAAAAATTAATTAAAACATGATGATATTTGGATCCTTATAGTTGAAAATGAAACACTATGTTAATTGACAGATAAAATACTTTAAATGAGGGTGGCAAAAAGGTTGTGCTGATCCCATTTCATGCACGGATTTTCAGAAAAATTCACGCATCACGCACATGAATAAAAAAGGAAAACCTAAAATCTGTCTTCCTCTTGAGGATTTCACGGGTGGCATATATTTAAGGAGGCAATGATCACGCCTCACGCTGGTTAATAAATTCACGAATCACGCTCGCCTTTCTTTAAAATGGTTACATATTGACTTTGGCCTTAATCACGCGACACGTGTAAACCATTTACCACCCTCGTAAATGTGTACCACTGTTTAATGCAAAGAAATAGCTTCCATTTTATTAATCACATCCAACATGTCATCGGCCCCAAAGTCATATATCGTCTGAGGGGTTGGCTGTAAATGGGGCAAAACACAGTTAATATCACTGAGTTGTTTTAGCATATCGTTCTTTGCCAATAGGGCATCTTCGTCGCTTACTTTAGCCAGGAGGTGTTCTATAACCTCAAGTCTACTGCTTGCATACTCGAGTGAAGCTTCGAAATAACTCAACTCTGCATGAATGTTTTCCTTCTGGGTCTTTACTTCTCCTTTAAGTTCATCCTTCATGCGTTGCTTTTCTCCTTTTAGGAACTGAATTACTTCATTAAAGAAGTCGTCAATTTTCTGGTCGACCTCTCGCGCGTTTTGATCCAGACTCTTTTTCTGCTCCTCAAAAGCACCCATAGATCCTTGTAAAGCAAGGACTTTTTCTTTTGATTCCAGCATGGCATTTACTATCTTTTCTTTCTCAGCGGGAAATACATCTTTAGCAAAGTTGTACTTGTGATCGCGATGATCAATTAAAGCGCAGTCTTGACAAATCAACTGTTGGCAATTCAGGCAAAAGAGCTTGAGGATTTCGTCCTCGTGTTTGTTACAAAAGGGCTTGGAATTTGTGCGTCTGAGATCCAGCAGATGATTTATAATGTAGTTGGACGGAAGGTTTGCGACATCGCCATTGAGTACCTGAGGAGAAAAGGAAGCAAGACTAATTATGGACATTTCAGTGAATGGAAAGGAAAAGAGAATATAATATTTTGTTGTTAAGAGGCTGAAAGGCGAATTGTGTGCTCTTCTGCAAGCCCCTTGAGGATTTCGTTTAGACCTTGTTGTGTGCAATAGCTTTGTAAATATTCGATAAAAAATTTGTGGAACGTCTTGTCGAGACCCATTGCACGTTATTAAAATGAGATACGTAGTCAAACTCTCTTAAATAAACTTACTGCAGAAAGTAGACAACTACTGATTTCAAAGTATGCATTAACTATCGTGCGCAAACAGTAAAGGAAAAATGTTTCAAACCACAAAGGAGGGCCATAATCATTTTGAAATTATCTTGGAGAAGAAGATGAGGCATCCCAATACCACCCACATATTGACGGAGGCCTCAATGAAACTAACCCCCCCCCCCTTATTTATTCGGATCGTCATTTTATAGTTTCTTGGTGTGCAGTGCCTAAAAGGGATTGTTCAATTTTAAAGTTTTGCATATTAATATTGTTGCACAATATGGACCTGATTTCCTGGCTTTTTGTTATGCAATACGATACAACGTCAATTGGCCATTAAAGGTCCGTTTCCCTAAATAATTTCTGGTTTCATACCTGACTTTTTTCTCTGCATACGGGACACCTGATAATGTATCGTTTGCGGACTCGAGTCACCAGTCCCTCCAGGCATTGTTTGCAGAAGATGTGTTGACAGGTCAACACTTTTGGCTCCGTAAACTTTTCGAGGCAAATTGAGCATTCAAGATGTTCTTCTAAATCGTCCTTCGAAGTGGTCATCATCTATATCAGCTTTTGAAAGAAAACATTTATTCATAACTCATTCATTAGGCATTAAAAAAGCTTTTATGTTTGGGTCATAGAGAAACAACCCAAGAAACCTTCGCGTTTTTTTGGCTTTTAATGCAATTGCAATTCGTCATGGAATACCGCTGACAAGCTCTAGGTTAATTCAATGTTGCCTTTCTTGGAAAACATAAACAGGGGGCTTGCAAGCTAAATAACAGAACTTTTTCTTCAGCTGCATCCAGAGCTAAAACAAAGATAAAAGCCACATGGGCAAACCTAGGTGACCAAAATACAGCAAACACACAAAAAACGTGTCTAGTTTGTGTTTCATTTGGGAAATACGGGCCGATCGAATCATTTTTCTTCTGCAATGAGATATTTCCCTGATTTCACATGATCATTTTACTAGTGATCAGGATACAAGATATTCGCCCTCTATGAAAATACGGTGAAGAATTAACACGTTTACTGCGTTCACCTATGTTTTCATCCCTCATCTTAATCACAGTAACTACAGAAGGTGACGCTATATCTTTTTTGCGAGAAAAAAAAATTTCCAATTGAAATAATTTGGCGACCATACTGCTAACAGAAAGAACCAAAATGACCCTGGGCTCGATATTGGTATTGGCCGAAAGATCACCTTACTTCGGGCGAAGTGGCCTGACGCGCGAGAAGAAGGATACAGTTTTAGAGAGGGTAGACCAGTGCTCTGTGTATGTAATACTGTATATGTAATATTAATTTAACATGCGAAGTTCTATCAATCTAATGAAATGTTGAAAATACGTAATCAGAAATCACGTGTAAAAAACTGAGCTTAACGCCAATAACGAGATTAAAATGACAATAAACAATACAAATAAACCAATACAAACTACGTTAAAATACAAAAGTTTCGGTACAAAAATTACAAGAATTTGCTGGCTCGTTAACAGCCCATCGTTCCTATCTAAGTGGTGAGCGTTCTCTTGCATCCGATACAATTTGGCATTTAAAACTCGAATCAATTGAAAATCAGCAATACAACAAATTATCTGTCTGTATACTTTCGCCCAATGCTGGAAAACTAAACCCAGACAAACAAAGTTACCAAGAAACCCACCTATCGGTCCCGCTTTAAAAAATGAAACGACGAAAGTTCACCAAGACTACTCAAAAATTTACGAATAACTGATTACAGGGACGCTAAACTCCGATTACAAAACCAATAGAAATATAAACAAACAGATGAACATTGTAACTATGTTCGTATCTCGGGTCACTCTGAAATTATTAAACTAATCAATAATCAATTAAATAAAAATGAGCCTTCTAGCTAGTGTCCTTAACAAACCAACTAATTAGCTAATAATTTCTTCTTTTCAATTATTCCCCTCCCATTATAATTAAATTTTGAGAGGTTTGCCACTGAAAGAGTCTGTGGACAGGAGTTCGTGTAATTCTAACGTTCAAGGCATTTCAGTTAGCATTATGGGCAAGACTTACCTAAAACACTTTGACTCTGTTTTGTAAACCGTAACGACGAAAGTCTCGATTATCAATCCGACTGGAAAGAGAGGAGTCTACCTACAGCTAGGTAGTTAGCAAGTAACCTCTTCAGTCACTGAAAGAAGGGAACATGCTGGTTATTTTTTTCCGTGACACAATAACAGACCTTATGTAACATCAGGACGGCGACTGCAACGAGAACTCAACGAGATATCAACCGAGAGAAATATTCTAGTTAAATCATCATTTCCCTTTTTATTAAATCCTGAATTGCTGAAAAGGAAGTTAAATGCTGGTGGTAAATGTTTGGACGCTAATGTCACGTCAGCATCGCCTCCGTATCAAGTTCGTTTAATTTTTATTATTTTTAATTGATTGATTTAATTGATTTTTAAATGTTGAACAAACTTCTAAAAATATTGTTTTCAGACGCCATTTAGTTCAAAATTATTTGGGTTTGATCGCTGAACTTAACCAAAGAAAACTGACCCGACAAAATATTTTGGTCGATCAAACAAAATTCGATCTGCGTACTTTTGTAGCGGTGTTTAGGCAGACTGTTTGACCATTTCATTCAAAAGTCTTAACAGAACTTCGGTGATATCCGCTAGCTTGTTCCATATCATCAAGCGAGCGTTGACAAAATTTTTTGGCAGTTTCCGCTCGAAAGTCTGATCAATAGAGAGGAAAGCTGTAGTCATAATAGGTTTACGTCATTGCTAGAAAATCAATGAAATGGCCTGTAAAGTGCTTCCTGTTTTGTTTTCTTTGGTTATTTTGTTAAATCCTGAATTGCTGAAAAGGAAGTTCAATGCCGATGGTATATGTTTAGACGCCGCTAATGTCTCGTCAGCATCGCCTCCGTATCAAGTTCGTTTAATTTTTATAATTTTAAATTGATTTTTAATTACAGAATTTGAAACTCCTATTGATAAATGTTGAACAAGCTTCTAAAATACTGTGTTCAGACGCCATTTAGTTCAAAGTTATTTGGGTTTGATCGCTGAACTTAGCCAAAGAAAACCGACCCGACAAAATATTTTGGTCGATCAAACAAAATTCGATCTGCATACTTTTGTAGCGGTGTTTAGGCAGACTGTTGGACCATTTCATATTCAACAGTCCTAACAGATTTTCAGTTCTAACCGCTAGCTTAGCCTATGAATCACATAAGTATCTAAATCTATCAGTTTATATTAATCAAATTCGAATTTATGTAAAATATTTCTGTTCGCCAGAGAGTTTGTTTACAATCCGACCTGTAATTACAATGCAGCACTTTAGAACGGTGAAAGTATGCATGACGCTGAAAATTTGATTGCGTCAATTAAAGCTATAAATCGCAAGATAGAAGGCATCTCCCGAACGAAGTATACGTGAAAATTTTCATGACACAAACCATGCATTTTGATATTGTTGTGATACAAAGTACTTGACTTCCTGTTTTGCTAAAAGGGAAGTTTTATGCTTCACTGATAATTAACGTATGCGTTGTATTTTCGTCTTCTTATCTAACCTTCTGCAACTGCCTTAACATGACGTAGGAAAGACATGGACGATAAAGTTAGAGCTTGAGTTGAGTGTCGCCTAAATTCCATTTGAGTTTGAGCAGAGAGTTAAGTTTGCTTCTCTCTTCTAGTTGGTCTTATCCCCACAATATATTAGATATATAATACAGATAAATATAATTAAAGATCTCTGCCATCTTACATCTCAAGCTGGTCATCGTCATATTAATCGCTTTGAAATTTTGTGATTAAATCTGAGCTAAAATTCCTTGATCTGGTTGGCTGGAGATGAATTTGTATGACTTTTCTTCTTAGTTGCAACGTATATTGAACGCTCGAACTCACCTACGTTGGTCCACGTTGTCTCAATAAACTCCTTTCGATAAAGCTGACTTGCAAGAAACAGAGAAGGGTCCAGATATGTCCCATTATATTACGTGAATTATTAAGACTTTCCAGCCTTTTTCCTAGAAGCGTATTTTGATCCTGATGTGCTGAAGGAAGTTTCTCGACTTTCCTTCCCCCATTCCCCCGCTCACCTTCGCTCAGTGGGTTGATGCAGGAGGGGGAGGAGAGTGGAGAGAGGGAGGGGAAGAGAGGCCTTAAAAACGAGTTTGGGAAATTTCCACTGGTGATGATGACTTTACTACAACGACATAATCTTTTTGTCGGTTTTCAGACGTTTTACGTTCACTTCAAAACTATCTTTTGAAATAATTTTAAGCAGGCTCTTCTAAATTTATGATCAAGCGTAATAAAACTACAGCTTTTCCTTTATTTCCAAGCTAAATAAAGAGGGAAGAAACTTGCTTACGAGTCTGTTACCTGGGGGAGAGAGGGATATTAATTTTTGAACGTTTTTCGGATTTATTTTCTTTATTGCTTGCCTTAATCAAAATAATGAGGCAATTGCTAACACCTACTGAACACTTACCTAAAACTACTCTACTGCTAACAAGTGCGAGAATTCGAGAATCCTACAACCACGGTAGAGGTACTCCCGAGGAGCACTAGTGACGAGTTTCCGAGTCGGGTGATTACCGGAAATTGTTAGCTATTGCAATATGGCGGACTATTTCAGTAACACCATGCGCAATTTACCAACAGTCAAGCGAAGTGATTGAACCAGAGATGAACATTATAACATGCTTTACACGTGAAAAATACATTGCTCAGTTTAAATCAAGGAAATTTCGCTCAATTTTGTGTGGCTGTTTCCTTCACCCTCGTCGATCTTCAGTTTCTTGTTCAGCAGAGTTTGAGCTTAACACCGTAGCCGCTAAGATCTGCGCTTGCAAAGGTAAACAAAATTTATGAATAGTATGGCCACTATAATGCCCTTGTCGTAGTGCTACTGGTTGGAAAGATCGCCACGATGAAATTTCTATTGTCTTGTACTTCTAGCCGGTAGGATCTCATGAGGCTCAGAAAATACTACCGGCTAGAGGTACAGCTTTCATATTTAGTCAACTTTGCTAATTGTTACCACAGTTTGATTCACATTTTACTTTTTCTGCACTCCAAATTAGTCTTACACTTCTTTGAATCATAATTTTTCATGAATACGCATACACTTATTTATTTTTATATGGTCCTGTACCTTTAGCTGGTAAGACCTGAAGGGGCTAGCGCTTTTAAAATACTACCGGCTAGAGGTACAGCTTGCATACCCAGTTGAATTTGCTCAATTTCCATTACGATTAGCTCCACATTTGACTTTTTTGCGCTCCAAATTAGTCTTACACTCTTTGGAATCATTTTTTACAAGAGTACATTTACATTTATTTTTTAAAACTTGCTCTTGTACCTGTAGCTAGTAGGATCTCAGGAGGCTTAGAAAAGACTTCCAGTTAGAGGTACAGCTTGCATATTTAATCAACTTTGCCCAATTTTTACTGCAGTTTGCCCATTTTACTTTCTGCACTCCACATTAGTCTTACACTCCTTGGAATCACTTTTTACATGACTTCATTTACATTTTGTTCTCTTTAACTTAGTCTAAAAACCTCCAGCTGGTAGGATCTTAGGAGGCCTAGAAAATACTTGAAGTACAGCTTGCTTATTTGCCAAATTTTCTTACAGAGTGCTTTTCATTTTACTTTTTGGCATTACATTTTAATCTTATAGTTACACTTGAATCATTTTTTTTTTCAAGAATATCTTCTTGTTCCTTGGTCGTGTACCTACCACCTACTTAAGCAAAGGGTGTCTGGTTGGTGTTAAGATAAGAAAGGTTTGATTCATTTTTAATAGTAGCAATTTTTATTAAAAAATACAATCAGTAACACAGGCACAGGTTAATGTCATGTATATAATTGTATAAATTCTGTATATTGTTAGACGTATTCTCTAACACTCGGTTAAATTTCCTTTATTTTCTGGTTGAGCTCCTAGTACATTTCTTACTTTCGGGGTCTAGCCCAGTCTTTACTTTATTCACCACAGTTCAGCTTATTCCCTTTCGACATAAGTCCACACTGCTCTATTTTGCTATATTCTCTGATTGAAAGATGCTGTGCACCAGCTTATAAAGGTGGCACTAAAGGTGACACTACTAAGCTGTCAATCTTCTTCTATCGTCATCATTCTATCTCAATCAGCGAATCACGTTAAGTTAAGTACGACAGACCCTGCATAATAAATTTGGGTCTTCGAGTTGTTTACGCAGTTACAAAATCATTTTCTACCTTAAATTTCTTACATTTTTGATTAAGATCGGCCAGAACAGAAGCAAGATTGATGATATAAAAATTCTAATAAACTTAGTAACAGAATTAAAATCATACTTGAAAAGGTATCTTAAAAGAAATTGTACTTGAAGGTTGTTACATAACAACAGGGTAAACACAAAATTCGAAGAAGGAAGGGCGTACCCAAGGTACCGCCCCCAAGAAAACTACGTGCTATTTGCATAAGTTATATAATTACAAACTCAGTGCGACAGATGAAAGTACTTCACGTTTACACCTTAAATCACCTCTAAGAAAAAGAGGTGTCGAACGTGTTATAAATTAAAAACTAAAAACTATTTTCCTGATCGGGAATTCGACATGGATTTAGCCAAAAAACGAGAGTATTAAATGGTTAAAGGTATAAAGGAGGGTTATTTCCAGGAAAGTCCTGTACGGGATCAATTTTTATAGGGTAGAGTCATTTTCTTAGTACTTAGTTATTTTTTTAGCAACACAATGAAAATATACCGGTATCTAGCCGCAAACCACAGTTTACGCAAAAACATCTGTCTCCATGTCAAATTCACAACCACAATAAGAAAAACGTCAAAGAAATGGTTCTTAGATGAGACCGCCAAAAGGAATAAGAAGTGATCAACCTAGTTATTATAATTTTTTGTATCGAATGGCTTAAAGTAATATAATACTTCCATTCCTTTTTCCCATCACCAATATAAGGAAACCCTTACAATATTTCAAATTAAATGTTGTTCTATTTTTATTGTTTAACAATATGTAGTAGATGACCACTGCATATTTTCAAGAACAACTCGCCTTAAGGTTTTCATACAGTGATACATGCTGTTAAATATCATTGAAAATACAAAGGGAAATTGCCAATTTGGTGAATTAAAATCATGTTATCCTATGACTACCGAAAGATGACTTGATTTTAGTATTTCAGACAATGGTTGACCTTGTCAACATCACTTTTAACCAAACACAAAGATCATGAAAGTAAAGACTGTTCCTTTCTAAGAAATCCCACTCATAGTTAGGCAGAGTATTACATAACAAACTTCAGTAAGTCTGGTTGACATGTTGAAGTCTAAAATAAAGTCAAATTCATCTAAAACTGGTTATATTTGTATGAAAATAAATCCACTACCGAAAAAAATACAGGCTAATTTAAAATTTATTAACTTGAAATTCATTTGAAACATAACAACGTTAATGATTTCTAGCTTACCTCACATACATAAGCTGCCCCTCTGGCTAGCAGTGTTTCTGAGTAATCCGAGATCCTACTATCCAGATGAACAAGAGTGCAAAGCAAAAAGAAAAAACCTATGGAGTGACTCCACAACAGTATGAGACTAACATGGAATATAGAAAGGTTTTTCCCTAAATCAAGAAATAAATAAAAAATGAGCTAAATTCACCTTAAATGCACGTAGTACCTCTAGCCTGTAGTATTTTCTAGAGGCTAGAGTAGGCAAAGTCCACTAAGCATGCAAGCTGTACCTCTAGCCGGTAGTATTTTATAAGCCCCCTAAGATCCTACCAGCCAGAGGTTCAAGACCAAATTAAATCTAAGTAAATGTATACGTATTCCTGAAAAATGAAACAAAGGAGTGTAAGACTAATTCCGAATGCAGAACAAGTAAAATACGAAAGAAACCAGCATAACAATTGGGCAAAGTTGACTAGATATGCAAGCTGTACCTCTGGCCGGTAGTATTTTATAAGCCAACTGAGATCCCACCGGCTAGAGGTGCAAGACAATAGAAATTTCATCCTGGAGATCTTTCCAACCGGTGGCACCATGACAATGGCATGATAGTGGCAGTACTATTCATAAGTTTTGTTTACCTTTGCAAGCGTAGGTTTTAGCGGCTACAGTGTTAAGCTAAGACTCTGCTGAACAAGGATCTTAAGATCGAGGATAGAGGGCGAAGGAAATAGCCACACAAAATTGAGCGAAATTTCCTCGATTTAAACTCAACAATGTATACTTCACTAGTAAAGCATGTTATAATATTCATTTCTGGTTCAATCATATCGCTTGTCCGTTAGTAAGTCGCACATAGTGTTACTAGAATAGTCCGCCATATTGCAATGGCCGACAATTTCCGATAATCACCCGGCTCTGAAACTCGTCACTAGTGCTCCTCGGGCGTACCTCTGCCGGTAGGATTTAGGCACAACACACAACCACAGAAACCTCGTTTCCAGGGTCTCTCTGGCTCTAAATGAAGAAGAGAGACCCTGGGAACGAGGTTGCGACCACAATATTGAATGTTTCTGTAATCCTAGTACCAACACGACTACATATAACTTAACGATACCGATGCCTGACTTGCTTTACAATGACATGGTTCCCCAAAAGCAGCTAGCTATGAAATTCTACTGCGGCATTAACTACGCATCTCTCTTCTCACAAAACATGAAATTTAACTTGTTTTATATCTTCAAACGAGCGTTGACAAAATCTTTCAGCAGTTTCCTTTCGAAAGTCTGATTAATAGAGAGGAAAGCTGCAGTCATAATAGCTTTACGTCACTACTAGAACATCCACAAAGTGGCCTGGAAAGGAATTCTTGTTTTTCTTTCTTCGATTATTTTGAAAATTCTTTATGCAAGTCACAATCAATTTTTTTTCCTTTCGCAGAACAATTTTTGGCTGGCATTTTGAATTGTTTGCTTTGCATCTGTTGAAGTCACGGACGTTTGAATGGGCGTTTCACATGATGGTAGAAAGGGCAAGAGAATTGTTGCATTTTAAGTTTATATGATAGGATGGCAGAAGAATTTGGCAGCGAGTCTTTAAGGG